ACATATAATGTTGGAGGACCGTCTTGGCAAAATCTCAAATAGTTCAACAAATTATTTTTACTATCCTTCCTTTTTGCACTTCCAACTAACGCAATAAGAAATTATAATTGATGAATTTACGCGAAACTGCACCAGTGCATGCAACACCTAGGTTTGAAATCCAAAACCATAAAAGTGATGATGTACTAAAAAATATACCATGCGATTTTACAGGTAGCAAAACGTCATTATCATTATCACATCATTTCCATCTGCCGGTCGACCGTAACGTAAATTCATCAATTACGAATCATAACATTAACTACACAGAAAAAGGAAAATCCTTTCTTTTCTCAGAAAAAGAAGCTTCCGCTCTTTCAAAGCTAACGTGTTTTCGGTGTTCTCGTTGCTCCACGCACCGTTCATCTTCTTGGAGGAGAAGCACAGCTTCATAATGAACGGGAATTTTGTGCATTTGTGATCGATCGCGCTGTGGTTGTACTTCATTATGACGTTCACCGCCAGGGCTACGCTCGGGAACTCGACCAATCCGGAGGAGGAATTTTCCGATTTCAGCGGGAACATTCGCACTTGCGACGGGTGGCAGTCCTTGGTGGTGAATGCAGTCAGCAACAGATCCTCGGACGGCGAACGAAGAAGTGGAGAATGCGATTTTTTCTGGCCTGGGAAGCGGTTGTTCTTGGAAGCGCTGTAGACCTTCAAGCTGATCGAATTGTCCGGCTTGGTGGAGTTCTGCTTGGAAAATTGGCTGGTCCGTTTCGGGTCAGCGGTGCGTCCTTCATCAGTCTGACGTGTGTTCCGGCCGGTGTTGGTTTCCAGTTTTCCGACGGATGATACTCGGGCGGTGAAAAATTCGGTGCAAATCCGTTTCCTCCGCCGGCTCCCAGAAGGGTTGGTTGATTAATTGATTGTCGTTCGTTGTGCGGAGTCGGCCTTCCGACGAAGATGGAAGGATCGTGTAGCAACGGAGCTCGTCCGTTGCAGGCATCCTTGAAGACGGATACATCATGCATCATGTGTGTAGTCCCAGCTGGAGTCCGTGTCGTTTTTGAAAACATTGAAAAACAAAATAAAAACAAGAGCCGTTAAAATACCGGGTTGCCAAACAAGGTATTATTCACAAGCAATCAAAAGTCAGTTCAATGACTTCTTGGCACTGCCGGTACAACTGCGGCACAACTGCGGAAAAAAGTTGGCGCAAAACAATTGTGTAGAGTGACCACCCCTTCAGAACTATGAAATTTTTCTAAGTTACATGTAAATTTTTCGAAGTGCACTAGACCGGACGCTACTGGACTGAGTGGGTCGTGTATTGTAGGTCATAAAGTGCTAGAATGAACTTGGACATTTTTATATAAAACAATGAAATCGGACTAAGAAGTTTTCTGGAGATTTCTCGATAACATTTTCAATATTTAGGGGCTATGCCAGATTTTCACATTCTTTAATTTTTCCAAGTTACAGTCATGGCGTAACCCTTAAGATCTCAAATTTGAAAATATTCATGACTCTGGAGTTGGGCAACATTTGTTAATTCTGACCATTTGAAAAATAGTCTACAACATTTAGATAAGAACACCAAATGAGTTTTGAGGAATACTCCATAGAAATATTACTACAATATAAAGTTAATTTGAGAAGCATTTCAATCAAATTGTAAGGAGAACTAAAAATTTACCCCAAGTAGTTCTGAAAAGACTATTATGGGTATCCTGAGAAAGGCCATTTTAGGGAGCATTCTAATGGAATTCGGAGGAGACTTCAAGTGAACTCTACGACAAAGTTAATGATGATATGACTACACTGTCCATATTTGCATGATTTCCTATGCGTTTCGGACTGCCATGCGATTATGGGTAATACAATCCTGACATTATTCCTAATGACCTACTACGGTTGAATTAAATGTCAAACAATAAATCAAAGAGATGTTTGAGGTCCAAGGGAATATCGATATTAATTTCAAAGGAATCTACTTTTGAAAAAAGCTCACTCAATTCTTGTCAAAATGTCAAGCTTGTTTGAAAGCGCGGGAAAACACCAGGATATTCTCTCAAGTGTATTTTAAGTAGAATTCAAACTTAAATCTGAGAGAAATTCCCATGGAATTTTGAGATGATATGCAAAGAAAATTTGGAAGAATATCTCCTAAATTCTAAAGGACATATCAAGAGATTTCTGAGGAATAGTCCAGAGAAATTTCGAAGGAAATTATTTAGGGAAATTTAAGGTTAATTCTCGCGAGAATAATTTAGAATATGTACATTGAATATTCAATAATTCTGGCTTCCTAAGCCTTCCAAAGAGAATTTCTGAAAATCTCCAGGAGATTCTCTCAAGAGTATTTCAAGAAAAATTCAAACGAAAATCTGAGAGGAATTCCCATGGAATTTTGAGGTGTTAGAAAACGAAAATTCGGAAGAATATATGATGAATTCTAAAGGACCTATCAAGAGTTTTCTGAGAAAAGTTATAAAGGAATTTCAAAAAAAAAAAAATTATGAAGGGAAATGTATGGTTAATTCACACGAGGATAATTTAGAATACTAAGATAAATGTTGATTGAACATTCAATAATTCTGTAGGGAATTTCTCAAATGTTTTACACAGAATTTCAAGACTATTATGGAAAATATCAGAACGAATAAGACTATTCAGGGGAATATTAAAGTACCATAATAAAAAATCTTTCTCATTCAAGATGAATAAAATAAAACCACTGAAAAAGCGAATGGGTTTCGAAGAATTTAAGAAAAGATTTTCAAAGGCTGACTCTAATTGCTGTTCGACGGACCAGGATATGCGTTCAGCACCGGCTTCCGATTCAACCTCTGGTTGTGAATAGTAGAATGTCAAAACAGAGTGTTGTGAGCAGAAAATGAAGCGGAACACTTTTTTCATTTTTTCTTATAAATTGATTCATCTAAGATGCTCCAATAGCAGTCCCGGTGGTGTAGTGGTAAGCGTGATTACCTCTCAACCCAGCAGCAGGCCTGGATTCAATCCCAGTCGGCGCCGCCGGGATGTTCTGCGGCATAACATCTCTGATCAAGCCTTCCTTCGGAAGGGAAGTAAAACCGTTGGTCCCCAGTTCATGAGTTGATGGGTCGATAGGTAGGGTGCAGGTGTGGGAGCTGCCTCCCACGTCGGTACTTCAGTTGATTAACAGTTGAAACATTTAATGCAAAATGCAAGGATTCTGCTAATGTGCAGGAATCTTTTTGTTGAGAAAAATGGAAAATTTGAATGCCGCCTTAGTGGTTATGATCTTCCGGGTTTCTTATGTGTGAATTGTTTAGGTGCAAATCAGTTCAGATCTGTGGAAAATCGTAAAATAAGACAATTACTGATGGAAATTTGCAAGAAGTTGAATGGAAAATGTAAAAGTAAAAGTAAATTGGTACGCCCCTCGCGCGCCGCTAGCACGCCTCTAGTGTTGGGAATCGAACATCTTTGACAGTGGTTTGTTTACACTTCTATAGAGAACAACTGGTGCAAGTTTGATCAAAGTAGTCCATCGCGGTCAGAAATAACGTCAAATGGAACTCGAAACAAGAAAACAATATTGTACTCAAACACCTGGAAAATCCAGAGTGGCCCGGTTCCAAGCTTGCTAAAGGTCTGAAGATGCCGAAAACAACAGTTTGTCGAGTGCTCAAAACCTACAAGGAAACCCTGAGTGTGGAAAGGAATCAGCGGACTTACGGAAAAACTGGAACGAGGGATCGCCAGCTGCGCAGCAAGGTGTTGAGGTGGTTTTTAAGTCAACCCCGGTCTTTCGATCCGAGATGTGGCCAGAAGGTACAACGCCAACTTTCAAACAGTGCAAAACATATCCTTGTCAGGTATGGATACAAGTCGTACAAAGCCAGTTAACACTCGAACCGACACATGAAGCTGAATTCCGTGGCCAAAAAGCGTGCAAGGCTCTTGTACGACCGTGTTTTGACGAAACACAAGGGCTGCACTTTGATCGATGACGAAACATACGTCAAACTCGATTTTAAGCAGCTTCCCGGTCAAAATTTTTACATCGCGACTGGACGTGGGGATGTGCTGGGAAGATCAGGTTCTTATTTGCCGACAAGTTCGCGAAGAAGGCCATGATTTGGCAAGCGATTTGCAGTTGTGGCCTCAGAACGGAACCATTCGTCACATCCTCGACGATGACATCCCAAGTTTACAACGAAGAATGCCTGAAAAAGCGTGTATTGCCGTTCATCCGCAAGCATAGGGGCAAAGTCATCTTTTAGCCCGATTTGGCCAGCTACCACTACTCCAAGGTGGTTCTGGAGTGGTATGCTGCCAACAAGATCGATTTTTTCCCTAAGCACCTCCGAATTGCCCGGAATTTCGACCAATCGAAAAATACTGGGCAATTTCAAAGCAGTGACTTCGACGAAGCAGCGGGGCAATCAAGGACATCCAGCAAATGTGGGTAAAATGGAAGAAATGCGCTGCTTCCGTGTCCGTTTCCACTGTGCGGGCGCTGATGGGCTCCATCAAGAGGAAGGTTCGAGATTTCGTTCGAAGTGGAGAAATGTAACCATCTAATGCTGTAACTTTGAAGCTTTAATAAAAGTACTGTAAAGCAACCATTAATAGACTTTTTGAACTTATTGAATCACGAATTATAGGTCTTTTTGTGCGTACCAATTAACTTTTAGTCAGCCTTTAATTTGCGTTGTGGAAAAATCCTTATTCTGATGTAAACAAACGTTTTGGTTGACGTTTCCCCTCGCGCTCGTAAAAATTTCCCACGAATTTCCATAAAATTTAGAAAAAAAAATATGTAGCCAATTTGTGATAGACCCATCTAAAAGCAAACCCATAGACTGAGAATCGTTGCTACAAAGCATATCGAAGAACTTTCAACCATCGCTGTTGAGGCAATATTTCATCTGGAAAAACCCTGATAAAGAAAACATACCAAACATCTTTATCTTGCGCCCTTAATTGTTTCCTCATACTGCTGTGTTTTTCTACTCGCTTATCTCTAGAACACGATATCGACGGTGGAGCGCAACCTGAACTCGATGTTCCAGCACCAGGCGTACTCGCGCAACCAGGAAGCCCGGGACTACGCCCTGATCGTGGACAACAACTCGTACGTGCAAAAGTGGTCCCTGCTGCAGATCATCGTCATCATGCTGACCACCTCGGTTCAGGTGTACTTCGTGCGGAAGCTGTTCGACGTCAAAATGGGCAACAGTAAAATGGGAATCTAGGGAATGGTTATGACGACGTGACCACGGTTGTGAGGATAGATTGTTTTTTTTTTTCGTATACCATTCCAAACCTGAAACATGAGCACAATAACAAAAAAAAGAACAAGAAACCAGAAGTCTCGAATGGGAAAGCAATTCGGGCTAGTGAGAGCGGGGTGAGAAGCGCAGGGGAGTTTAGTTATTTTGAGATTTTTGTCTGTATTAGGTACGTTGAGTTCAGTGTCAATTTCCCGATCAAATTGATGAAGCTTCTGTCCTGCGAAGATTGTACTTATGTCACTTCAGAAGTGTCATTCTCGCAATCAAATTCAAGCATTGTTTTAGTTCGTCCAGATAGTAAGGTCGATTATATGAAATATATAATAATGGTTCACAAATTAGGCAGGGATTTGTTCGAAGAATTCTACACAGCGAAAACCGAAAGCCACCAAAGTTCAATGAAAATTTCTGATATATTTGACGCATGGCAACGTATTAGATTTGTTCAATTATTAAAACTAATATCTCATACCCTCTGTTAGTTGCGTCTGCACGTCTTTTCATGGAGCAACTTTCTGCTGATGTTGCTTCATACCTGCTTCGGTAATCCGGTTATAAAATGCATAGGCATACTAAGGTTTCAACAACGGTTTTTTTTTTTCTTTTCATTTCTTTTGGGTTATTTAGGTTTGTCTTCCGCTCTTGGTTTGTTATTTCCTATTGTTTAAGGTGTATGATTTTGTCCTTTAAATATACAAATTTGTTTCTTGTTTGGATATTACTTCCTACATACAATTCTTTCTTTGCTTATCTCCTGGATTTGCTATGAGGTCCACTTTTTTATTTACTTGCCTGATGCTTTGTAGTGTTTGTTTTTGTAACTTGATATTGTATTTTAATTTATTTTTTTATTTTAGATTTAGTTTGGTTAAGGTACTCAATGCTAGATGATTCACTTAACTTGAAAAGGGTGAATTCCGTACCGACTCGAACGGCGACAATTTACTTTGGTTATTTGAAGCTGAAAGAATATTGCGCCTAACAGTAGACTATTTTCGGAGACAAAACATCAAGACAACGCTTCAGGTCGTCCAAAATGGCGTTAGGCATCAAATTTCGATATCATTGGCTATTACGTTCCGTTGATATCCATATTGTGTGGAATGGCTAGCTTTTTGACGTTTCAAACCATTGCCATCAAACCATCACTGCAAAATGTTCTGTCAAAAATACTTCGTAGGGTATGGTGGGGCAAGATGGGTCATCTTCTTGATCTCTTTATATTTTTGTATGTCAACATCAACTGAAAACCTGGAAGGAGCGGAATAACTAGATCCTAACTCACGCCTCCCCGAGTCATATGATAACAAAAGACTACCAGCTGAAACATGGACACAGCAGGGTGGCGTAGCCATCGAGAAGCGGCTCAAACCGGCGTCTGTTCTCCATGTTAGGAGCGGCTGATTCCGTCCTAGTGCCAGCGTGGGACTCTAAACAGGGCTGTGCACGATAGTCCCCCGGCGAGACAGTGGATTGGGGCAGGCCCAACAAGCCACCCTGAAAAAAACATAAAGTTGCAAATACCGAAGAAAGAAATACGAATCGGAACAATCGGCACAGACCTACGCAACGAAATAAGGACTACGATTGGAAACTCGGAACATGGAACTGCAAATCGCTCGGCTTCCCGGGCTACGATAGGTTAATCTATGAGAAGGCGACCTGCGGACCCTTCGCAGACTACGAGGCTGGCGAAATGTGGCCATGGATCGAGTAGAGTGGAGACGACGTCTTCGGACAGCAGAGGACAACAAGGTTTTAGCCTGATTGATGAGGTAAGGTATGTTAACATCAACAGGCTCAATGTAACCCCGATCCCAATGCTGGTTTGAAAAAGCAAGCCATCCTTGGAATTGTATTGAACCGGTTGATATCAATAAATGCACTACTTCATGGTACTGCTATTGGAATAAAAGCACCTCTTCCCTTCACCATCGTCCCTTTAACCACTGACTTACCTATTGCCGTGTAAGACTGGAATGTCCACTCACAATCATGATAATTAAAGGTAAGTTAACCGACTTATTTTCCACTATCGATGGTCACATTCATTTCCTAGGTGACGTAAACGGCAGCCCCTCAAGTAATCTTAGGGGCATCGAGGTGCTTGAAGCTGCGAAGGAAGCAGCCAATCTTTCCATTACCTTTACCAGCGGACAGAGAGAATCTGCAATCGACGTCTCCTTTGTTAGCTCAAGCCTAATACATCGTTTCCTCTGGAGAGTTAAAGAGGATCCTATGGGTAGCGATCACCGCCCCATTGAAATCCGACTAGATTGTATACCAACTGAAACCTCTCGTAGACCACGTTGGATCTACAATCGGGCTGACTGGACCCGCTTCCAAGGGACAATCATCACAACCTGCAGGGACACTGAACCAACGAACCTGGCGGAATACATCGGCTTAATCTTCCAGGTTGTCATGGATACTATTCCTCGATCCAGACCCAATCCGGGGCGTAAAGCTCTCCCGTGGTGGGGACCAAACACTTACATTGCAATTTGCAGTTTGCTAGATTTACTAGAAGGAAAGCTCTTCGATCCGTTAAGCGCCTGCCCAAGGATCACCCAGATAGGGAGGTGGCTTTGGTGCACTACCGAATCAATGGGCATCCGATCTATGGAGCAATGGGAATTGTGCTTCAGCATGCAGGAGGGATCACCCATGATCCGGATACCATCGTGAATGCATTTGGGAACCACTTTGCTTCCCTATCTGACATAGAGGGCTACGACGAACACTTCCGCAGATCGAGAGTCGCATCAACATCATCCATTTCCAACGTGGAAATCCCGATGGAATCACCCGTACCGGCAATAAACCGACATTTCCGGCTGGACGAGCTTGCTTTGGCATTATCCAAGCCAAGGATTCCAAGGCCAGAGGGAACTCTGCAAGCTCAGACGAGGTGGGTTATCCCTTACTCCGGAATCTTCCCCCCAGAAGGCAGAAGAAAACTTCTAGATCTGATCAACCACGAGTGGTTAAGTAACTGCCTTGCCCAGGTAGTGGAAACACAGCCTAGTGGGACCTATCCTTAAACAAGGAAAAATAGGCCGACAGGTTAGCGACCTCAGGCCAATCTCCGTCCAGGATATGGAACCAACACCTACTTCGCAACACTCGCTCAAGTTCTCCATGATGCCACTTCCGCTGAACACCATACTGAACTGGCAGTTCTAGACATCGCAAAGGCCTACAACAGAGCCTGGATGCCAGACGTCATCCGACAAATGCTGGACTGGGGCTTTGGTGGACACCTGATGCATTTTGCTAGGAATTTTCTTATTAACCGCACCTTCCGGGTGCTCCTGGGAAACCACCGTTCTACTACATTCCGAAAGGAGACCGGTATACCTTCCCAAGGAAATCTACTTCTTCCTTTACGCCGCCGATATCGTAATCCTGGTCGTCCGCAAAACCGTCAATTCACTTCGGAGGAAGATGGCAGCAGCAATAAGAGCGGTCACTATGGACGTCATCGGCCGGATTTCAACTCTCACCGTCACCGTCCCCTCAGTACTCCTATATGCATCAACGGGATAACTATTCCCCTCGAGAGGTCAGCGCGCGTTCTCGGGGTTCTATTCGACCGGCATCTGTCTTTTTCACCCCACTTCGACGAGGTTAAAGACGCCTGTAAGACACGCCTGAACCTCCTCCGATGCATTGCGGGACGACACCCGGACTGCAACCGATCCACTCGGCTTCGCGTTGCTAGAACTATTCTGGAATCACTTCTGCTTTACGGGATAGAAATCACTTGCCTAGCCCGTGACCAACTCGCCACTAAACTAGCCTCCACGTACCCCATCAAGCTATACGTATCGCCTCTGGTCTCCTACCATCCACAATCGGAACCGCAGCTTGCATAGAAAGTGGAGTACCACCATAGAGGTAACTCTAAGACTAGAAGGTCCCGACGAAACGTGCTCAACTTTTTGGATTTTATCTGTCAAACTTTCATAGCGAATCAAAACAAACATAGTGTAGTACTAGAATTTTGACAAGCATGGGGTAAGTTAATCGATTTTCTTGGGACCAGTAGGTTGAACAAGGAGTGAGCCAATTTAAAAGCGTTAGCTTACACCGGTTGATACTACCGTTTGAACGACTAATTATTCAGACTATCTGCAACCGATCGATCAGCTTCGAGGAGAAGACAGAAGGCTTAGATGAGAGAGCATTCCTCCTCACCGAGGCTAAACAGCTCCTCTCAGATACCACCAACCTGGAGCTCCCTCCGGTGTCCACAGTCCACTAGTGCGGAGTCAGAGGTTGGAACCTATCCGGACCCACTACCGACCTGACGATAAAGAGGAACTTCAAAGCAGGAACCAATTCACCAGCGCTTATGAGATCGGTTGCAGAGCTCCAGAGAACCAGATATAATAATTAGACCATCCGGTACTCCAATGGCTCAGTCTCGTGTGGTGGTGTCGGAATCGGAATCTCGGATTCCCATATGTCCATATGCCATCGAATACCGAATCAATACTCCATCTTCTCGGCGGAAGCTGCCGCTGCCTTCATCACCGCCACTACTCCTTCAAATAAGCCGATTGTCGTATTCACTGACTCCGCCAGCGTAGTACAAGTCCTCGACTCTGATCTAGCCAAACACCCGTGGATTCAAGCCATCTAAAAACCATCACCTTTGTCTGGATCCCTGGACACGTTGGCATTCGCGGAAACGAGGAGGCAGACCATCTAGCGGCCTCCGGAAGACAAGCGGCACTATTCACCCGGGAGATCCCAGCAAAAAACGCTATCTAGAATTCATGGTCAACCTCATGGTCCCAATCGAGGGACCTTTTCATTAGAAAAATTAAGGGCGACACTCGTAAGTGGGAGGATCCTTCGGACCACCGAATGCAGGTAATCGTGTCGAGGCTCAGAACGGGTCACACTAGAATATCGCACAATTTCTCCGGGAACGGGCCTTTCCGGAAATTTTGTGAACTCTGTCGAAAGCCTCACTCGGTGGAACACGTTATCTGTCACTGCCAACAATATCAGGGTCCCCGTGAATGCTACCAAATTTCAGGCAGCATCAGAGATGCACTTAGCGACGATCTGGCCAGGACTGCAGCACTGATTGGCTTCCTTCGTGAGGCCGGCCTCTTTAACCAAATCTAATCTCCGCACCAAAAACTTTGAGCACCAGAACGCCAAAAAATGAATTATACTCTACGTACCTACGCTGTTTTACCGCAACGAAACAGGACCTTCCACAAAACATCACAATGACTCCCGAATATCTTACAGAAGGACGCGATTAAGGAGACTACTAGGCACCAAGATGACAACAATATTGACAGCAAACAATTCATTTCAAACTCTGTAAAAGAACCACTCTGTATTAAGGGGACCCCTCTGGGACATCGCTTGTTTCTGGAGACTCCCTTCCGGGATCCCCTACACCAAACTCTGTAATTTGGGGAGTTCCCTTCTGGAACTCCCAGCCTCTCTAACTAGGGAAACCGCTTTCTGGGGTTTTCAGAGACGAACCAGCCCACGGGTGAAAGTCTCTCTAATAAAGAAAAAACTGTACTATTTAGCTGACCCATCTTGCCCCGTGACCCATCTTTAAATACATTGAGAACAATAATTCCAACTATTCTTGAATCTAAAGAGATTTAAGGCAAACCCCATCGAAATGTTCTTTCAAGGTTCAGGAAAAGTTGATTTATTATAAAAGCGATTTTTGCTGGTGTCATTGATCCGGATCTCATACTGGAAAAGTTGAATGAAAGTTAAAGGATCCGCTATGGAAATTTCAGAGAACTTCCACAGGAGGTTGGAAGGTTTTCAAGATCAAGTAGAGAGAAAGTCCAGAGGAATGGAAATGCAAAATATCAGGACCTGTAGGGTAACTGCCCAGAATGCTTTGGTAATGGTGACCAGCAAATCTCAATTAGCATTTTCCCAGATTTTTGCCCGGAATTTTAGAAAATTTCCCGGCTACATCAAGTGCGATATAAAATGTAAATTAAGTATAAAACCGAATGCGATTGAAGCTGAAGGATCACTAGGTTTAATGAGCCATTTCTTAAAAAAAATGTTTTAACTAACTTGAAAATTCGCTCTTTTCTTCTTGTAGGATTTAAAACACTCTGTTAAACAAAAACTCCGTTTCCGAGGTTCTCCTTCTGAGACCTCCCCATGACCAAGAAATGAACTAGCCTATGGCTAAAAATCTCTCTAATAAAGATTAAAAAAAAAAAAAATCTTGTAGGATTTTTCTTTGGAATGTTCTCAAGAATTTCTTTAGAATCAGTTCCCTTCATAGTGTTATTTTCAGAAATTCTCTAAAATATTGTGAATTCAGCCAAACATTGGATTCTACCGGTTATTTTTTGCCAGTTTTCATTACGTGGGGGTGATTCATTCACGACCAGAGTTACTCATGAATCACCCCTTTCAATTGAAACCAAAACAAAAACATTGAATCAAAACAAAAACAAAAAATTGTAACAACCTAGCATTAACGAACTCAAATCTCGAACCTACAAAAGATTGCTGCTGATTGCACGTAAGTTAAATGATTTTTTGCTTTAAGATGTGAGCACAAAGATTATAAAAACTCTCAATATTTTACTTTTCAGCATGGAAACCTCTGACATGGAAGGTGAAAGCAGTGAACCAACAGGTTCGAAGAAGAGAAAGGTGGATTCTGACCAAGATCCGGGCCCATTCGCGGAGATTGAATTTCTTGACCTGAGTAATCTGTCTGGCACCGGTTTTGAAGATAGCTGTGAAGATGATATTGAGGACCAGCAAGCCACAATCGAGTCGAACAAAAGTGGTTCCTCATCAACTCACCAAAAGGAAAACGATGGATCTCTGCTGAATATGACTGTCAATGTTCCTGTTGGTCAGTTCAAGAAAAAGCAATTTCATTTCATCGGTGTGTTTTACGTTCGGTTGTTCAGATCACAGCATTTGGCGGATCCGGTTACTTCAAAGGACATGTACGGGAATTCTGTGTCAAGTTTGTTGACGTGCATCTGGGAAGCAGCCAGGGGATATGTTGCTCGGGAGATAGTGGTCGAGCATAGTGACAATGAACAACAAATCAGATGGTCTGCTAAGAATAATCCAGATGAGATTGATTTGGACAGATTTGTGATGTTGAAGCACGAAAAAAATAAGAAATTTTATACTATGGAGGACATATTCGGCACAACAACAAGCTACTAACTCATTGGAGAGGTAAAGTCATTCAGGTCCATGTGTTCAAATACTCCTCCTCCATTGCAACGCTAGCCATGTGGGAGAAGACCAGCAAACTACTACTGCACCCAGAACGCAAGGATAAAGCTGGAGCTCCAGCAACGGAGGAAGTTTTTGGCTGTGTCCATGAATTGAAAGAGATTCACTCACATTACTCCGCACTATTTTCATCTTGGGAACGGTGGGCAAATTTTGTTCTTGCTCAACCAGCAGACCAACGTACAATGTTGATGAGAGAAGCGCCGCCGGATGAGTATCTCCACTTGTTTCGTGCTGCTCCAATTTCTGAAGCAAATCAGCTTAAAGTTACGCGTCAAGGATTACAAGTGGCTTACAATATTGCAGACGGAATTTTAGCAACAGTAAGTGGCTTGTGCACAAAAGCGGATTCAATGGCAGAGATTATGAATCAAATCCAAAGAGAACTACACTGCCTCAAGACACAGGTGAGTTCTTCCCGCTCATTGTTGGATGCAATGCAAGATTCCTTACCACCGGAGGAAACTGAATTCAGCAAGAAGCTGGCGTCTCTTGTTACGGACATGCCTGACATCGACCATGCTGACTAAGCAAGCAAACTGAATTTGTGATTATGATTTGTATTCCTTCAATAAAGAATAGATTGATTGGCTTCGTTTTTTTTTTCAATTTTGAATTGTGTTTATTGTGATTTATGTTCCTAATTTGATTCAAACTGATTTATTTAATAACTATTGACTTAGTTGAGGAAGTCCAACTGAAGGGTCGAATATCCCTCCCGACGAGAACCCACACTTTTGAAAAAGACCTGTGCATTTGTAGGATATGAATTTAGTTAGGGCGGCACCAACAGTTACAGAAAGTGGAGTTGTATCATGTTCCCTATAAATCCGAACACAACCTCGATCGGATTATAGAAGGGGCAGTAAGCTGGCAAGAATATTGGAATAATACCAATTGATCTTAAATACATTACAATATTCTTGTCGCAATGTATACGTGCCCCATCCATTATCCAGACCGCGTGTTTTCCAGGATATTTATGAACATTTCCACTATGGAGAGCCATTTTAGAACAACTATCGAAAAATTTCTTTCTATTGAAAGTACCCTGCGTTTCAAAAGATTCAATTACTCCCGATTGACCTAAAAAGCAGAGACATGAAACGCGTGGCTTGCGTCGAAATTCACCTCGGTAAATAAGGCTTTGTCCAACACGTCCATATCCACGATTTCGAAGCATTTGGCGGTTGTCAAAGGAAACTTCATCCAAAAATACCAGCTGCTTTACATCCCACTGAAAGCATTTCAGTTCATTGGAGAATCGCAAAACATCTTCCTGACGAATTTGAACAGCTCTTCTCTCCAAAGCTTTCCATGACATGCCGTAAGCATGTAGAATCTTGCATATGGAAGCAGCACTGATAGACACACCAAAATGTTCGACAAATAGTTGGCGTGCTTCGTATAAATACAGCACAGGTCGTCTGTTGTACAAATCCAGCATCCATTGTTGCTTCGTCTCATCAAACTTAGAGTACACTGCTGTCCTCTTTAATCTGGATAATGATCCATCTCGTTCGTAGGTAGTAATCCACGAGGAAATAGTAGTTTTCGATTTGTGATAAAGTGTGGCAAGATGAGAGCGAGATAAGCCCAAAAAATAATAGTCGTACAAGCAGTAATATTTCGTGTTAGTAGTGGCCTGCTTGTTCCGCACGTTTCTTAAAGGGTGATACGGTCAAAATTTGGTCAATATCAACTTGACGTATTTCTTTCAATTTTGCATTTAAAAAACCTGAACACCCCTCATTTTGAAGGTGTGTGTGTGTGTAGAATGTTGCCCCTATTTTGATTTTGGAATTCACTCTACAGTTGTCAAAATGCCGTCCAAGCAAGAAGAGCAGCGTATCAAAATTTTGCTCGCGCATCGCGAAAATCCGAGCTACTCGCACGCAAAGTTGGCAAAATCGCTAAAAGTTGCCAAATCAACCGTTACAAATGTAATTAAAGTGTTTGGGGAACGTTTGTCGACAGCCAGGAAGTGTGGATCGGGGGGAAATCGAAAACCGGAAGCCGCTGAGACGACAAAGAGAGTTGCCGGTAGTTTCAAGCGAAACCCTAACCTCTCTCTCCGAGATGCCGCAAATAAGCTGGGTGTATCGTCTACAACCGTGCATCGAGCCAAAAAACGAGCCGGACTATCGACTTACAAGAAGGTAGTGACTCCAAATCGCGATGATAAACAAAATACGACGGCCAAAGCGCGATCCCGGAGGCTGTACACGACGATGCTGACGAAGTTTGACTGCGTGGTAATGGACGACGAAACCTACGTCAAAGCCGACTACAAGCAGCTTCCGGGACAGGAGTTTTATACGGCAAAAGGAAGGGGAAAGGTAGCAGATGTTTTCAAGCACATGAAACTGTCAAAGTTCGCAAAGAAATATCTGGTTTGGCAAGCCATCTGTACCTGTGGCTTGAAAAGCAGCATTTTCATAGCTTCCGGGACTGTCAACCAAGAAATTTACGTGAAAGAGTGTTTGAATAAACGTCTGCTGCCTTTCCTGAAGAAACACGGTTGTTCCGTACTGTTTTGGCCGGATTTGGCATCTTGCCATTACGGTAAAAAGGCCATGGGGTGGTACGCCGCCAACAACGTGCAGGTGGTTCCCAAGGACAAGAACCCTCCCAACACGCCAGAGCTCCGCCCAATTGAGAAATACTGGGCTATTGTCAAGCGGAACCTAAAGAAGACCAAAAAAACTGCTAAGGGCGAGCAGCAGTTCAAGGCAAACTGGCTTTCTGCGGCGAAGAAGGTGGACAAGATGGCTGTACAAAATCTGATGGCAGGGGTCAAGCGTAAGGCCCGGCAATTCGGATTTGGAAAAGCGGAAGCCTAACTAAATATTTTTCCTGAATGTTATACTAATTGAACTTGAAAAAGAAATTTAATTTGATTTTTTAAATAAACGATTTCACCGATTTACACACGTTTTCCCTTGACCAAATTTTGACCGTATCACCCTTTACTATCACATTATCCATGTTACGCCTGATGCTAGCTTAAAAATTAAACATAAATTCAATAATCACACCTTTCACATTAACTATTCCTACTAACCACTTGCTACATTGTTTTGCACGTTTTTATTTTTATTTAGAATTCTCAACATTTTTTAAATACAGCACGATAGAAATCGTAAGGTCATCTTGACAGCACGATGACAGAACAGGTTGACAAATCTTCGACCTGCTGTTTTAACGATGATTTTTAAACCGCTGATTTCAATTCGTCGGGTCCAGTTTACAAATCAACGTACAATAAATTTTATCAAACTAAAAGTTCAAACTTCTCACTTCAGGGAGTCACTTGAAATTTTCTTTGTAGCAATCCAGAAATTCTCTGCAGAACACTCCAAACATTCATGGAATTCGTCCTATGTTCGAAAATCCCTGTGCTGTCGATCGACCGGTTTTCGAGAAGAACTTAGCCAAGGTTGTCAAAATTTAACTTCTTGTCTGTCAGCAGTAACCACACTCGGATAGCAGGGTTAATCGATAACACCTGGAAAATTCATCGTGGTCCACGTCCAAGCTCACTAAAGTGTTGAATTTTCCTAGAAACACCGTATGGTGCGTGCTCAAAACGTACAGACGACGAATCAGAAGCCTCAAAGTAAACGCCGGAGTGGAACTACCAACCGTCAGCTCCATGGAAAGGTCGAGAGGTCCATCAGAAGCAACCCAGGTATGTTCCGATCGCTTCTTCTTCTTTTTTGCATATCAAGCTTATTGCTTATCGCATATTAGCTTATTGGCTGGCCTCAACTTAGTGTTCTAAATGCACTTCCACAGTTATCAATTGAGAGCTTTCGGTGCATGAATTTGTTATATTGTGTGGCAAGCTCAATGATACTCTATGTCCAGGGAAGTTGAGAAAATTTCCAACCCGCAAGATTCCCTCGACCGAACCGAGAATCGAACCCGATGTTCCGATCGCGATTTGAGTAATATGTATGATGCCGCCCGTAGTACAGTGCTGCTGAATTCACTACCTCGAAGGCTTACAGGCATACCGCGCCAGTAGGCATCCAAATCAATCACTCAAGCAGAATACACAACCTGCTGACCAAGTCCGGTGGGTACATACTTATGGATGATGAAACCTATGTAAAGGCCTACTTCGGACAGCTTCCGAAGGCTTGAGGAGGTGTCCATGGCAGATTAAAATTTGTTTCTGCGGATAAATTCGCACGCAAATATATCATCTAACCAAGGGATCGGTCACTCCTCACACCAATCTTGGATCATCTTTTTTCTCAGTGTGCCACAAGTGTGCCGATTGTGCCGGTCATCGAGCAAGCTGCGATTATTTGTAAAATACCCATCCCGGCAACCCGGTATTTCCGACACCTTGATTTTTTTGGTTTGAAATCGCAAGGATAAATCGAATTGAGGATGACGCGGGAAGTGGCGGGTTATCAGCTGGCAAAAAGAGATGATCACCGATTTGCTCATGTACCGACGAAGTGTTTGAAACAGTTCTATCGATGTTCTACCGCACTCAAATTGTTATCTGAAAAAAGCCAGTGGTGCCGCCACCATCCCTCTCCAACGGGGGAGTTTGGTAAAGAGAGATGATCATCCCGATTTGTACCTTCCTCAAAGTTGCCCTTACTCGCTTTCTACTCTCTGTATACAATTTTAACACTGCCGTACTCTAACGGAACTCTCAACTCTATACTTTCATCTCCTCATGTATCGTATAAAAATTACCACTTTAGTCTGTTATTTGAAATTAGTATCTTGAGCTATGTAAATCGTTAACTTCACGCAGAAGTAATGCAAACAAATAGTTAAAGAACAATCCAATGCCTACGAGATTGTGCCGAAGGTGTGCCGATGGATGTGCCCAAGCTGTTCCGAATCTAATTTAGGCACAATGTGCTGCGTGACTCTTACCCCTTGAATCTGACAGGGAATTTGCAGCTGCGGTCAGAAGATAAAGCTTTTCGTCACTGAGAAAATGATGAACTCGAAGGTTTACAAAACCAAATGTCTCCAGGAGCGAATTTGGCCGGATCTTGCGAGTTGTCACTACAGCCAGGAAGTACAACAATGGTACAATGACAACGGAGTCCAGTTTGTTCCGAAAACCCTCAATCCGCCCGATTGTCCCCAGCTCAGGCCCATTGAAAACTACTGGATGAAGAGGAAACTGAAGATAAAAGGTACAGTCATCAAAACGGCAGCTCAGATGACCGTTGTGCGGCGTTTGATGGGTCGTATTAAGGGTAAAGTTCGAGAATTCCTTCCAAACCGCGACGAATAATTCGTTTCGTATTTTTTCTTAAATTTAAAGAATAGTATGGATTTAAGTGAAAACCGTTTTCAAATCCGAAATAGACCTAAAATATGTTCGATTACTAAGTGGCAGTGGCGTCGCGTAACCTCACTTTTTACCTGTGCACCAACTTTCAAAACCAGATTTAATGCCATACCTGAGTACCTGATGGGCGACGACTCGTTGAATTCAGATCTGCGCCGAACGAAGTAACCGTCTCCATTGGTCTCGGTCCTGAGCCAATCGCTTCCAGCCGCCTTGGACGTTCAAGGACCTAATGTCCTCCTCAACTGCACAAAACCAACGCGTGCGTGGCCTACCCCGAAGCCGACGTCCTCTTCCGGGTTCCCTGCTGAATATTGACTTCGCTTGACACTCTTCCGGCATTCGTGCCACATGCCCAGCCCACTGTAGCCTGCCGTGTTTTATAAGCTTCACAATATCCATGCCGTTATATACTTGGTACAACTCGTGATTCATGCAACGCCGCCAGATGCCATTTTCCAGTTTACCGCCGAGTATTGTTCGCAGCACTTTACGCTCGAAGACACCGAAAGCTCTCCGATCGGTTTCTTTCAATGCCCACGATTCGTGGCCATAAAGGGCTACCGGCAGAATCAACGTCTTGTACAGCGCGAATTTCGTTTTCGTACGCAAGCTGCGGGACTTCAGCTGGCTACGCAACCCATAGAAAACCCTGTTCGCGGCTGCAATATGCCTTTTCACCTCGCGGGTAACATCATTATCGCACGTCACTAAAGTACCAAGATAAAAAAAATTCGTCCACAACTACAAATTTTTCGCCATCTAGCACCACTTCACTACCAACACCACTATTGCTCCCATGCTTTCTACCGGCGACCATGTACTTCGTTTTGGTAGAATTTATCGTGAGACCAATCCTCGCTGTCTCCCTCTTAAAAGGCGCGAACGCCTCTTCCACTGCTCTACGGTCGATTCCGATGATGTCGATGTCGTCCGCAAAACCAAGGAGCATGTGCGACTTTGTGACGTTCCTCTGCACGCCAGCTCTCCTAATCGCTCCTTCGAGGGCGATGTTGAATAGCAAGTTCATTTAATGCCATATTCATACTTGAATCAGTTGAAAAATACACTTAATCTTCTAGTTTAATAGATATCTATCTATCCATTACAATATTTTGATAATTGTTTATGTTTTAAGAGCTGGCGCACAGGTAGATTGAGGTTAAGGCGAAGCCACTGCTAAGTGGACCATGTTTTAATATCAATTTGATGAGAGTCTTACGATGAATTTGATAAGGATCTCAAGACGAATCTAGAGGTTTCGGGAAATTATGAATACACAAGTTTTTCGGGGTCTAAACAATCCTGAATAAGTTGACCTCCAATTTTGCAAGTCATCTATCATCTGGTAATCAACATCTTATTTTCGCATTTCATGCTCCGGGATTTCTCGGGAAACTGAATTCTGTGTGTGTATTCCCTCTGGCCGGCCGTGTTGTTACGACAGAACTCTCTCTACAATGTCGCATTTATGGTCATTGTAGACAGCTTTAGTCTGGGAGGTAGAATGTGATAGCTCTATCCAGCATAGCAGATCCAGCAACCCATTTCAGAATGTCTGGAGAGTCACGTCCATTCCGAGGTTTTTTTTTCCTCTGTTCGGGACATAACACTACTGCGACCAGTAATTTGATCTATTGTAGTATCCCGTGTCCTTAATTTAGTGCATGTAGTATTACTTCATCACTATTGAGAAATGATGAAGCATTCGGTTTTGATTGTCATTCTTGCCTTCATCGCAAGGAATCGATTCTAATTGAAAGGTCCCGCTATTTATGCCCTTCGACGTGTTGAAACACCTTCCAAAGGCGCGCCCTTTTGTCAGTCAAAATTGGATTCCTTAGCAACAAAAACTAGCAATGACACCGATAGTGACCATGCATCAGAACCCTAGTCTTAACCACTTCAAACTAGGAAACAACGAATAGAAGATTAGGAATCACATAGGTGAAGACTAACTAACTCATTTTTTCCTTGTTTCAAGATCATCCTCGGTCCAGCCAACCCGAGGACTTATCGCTATCAACAAGGCATAAAAAGTAACAAGGACTAAGATGTGTTCCTTTGATTACTGGAAAATCCTGTTCCCTTAGTTTGAAGTAGTCAAGACTAGGAATCGGTGGTAGATCTTACATCCCGTAACGTACCACGCAAAGGTGATCTACCCACGTTACGGGGTATTCTGAGGTTACTTTCACTTACAATAAGCGCCGCATGTATGTATTACCTGTATCAATTGGATATTAGTATTGCACACACACACTTCCAGTTTCAAAATGTTCTATTGAATCCTGGCACGTATTTAGTTTACGTTTTTTAAATTGTAAAAAGTATTTGGACTAGTCTCACCTAAAGAGCCTGCATTTATAAAGAGACGACATGTCAAAATTGGAACAATGGATTATCTGTCAAAGTCAAAGGAAAAGTTATTCCAATCGAGCAGAAGATCAGTCAAATGGATAAGATGTCGCCTCTTTACCCAATTCAGTCTCTTTAGTCTCATCATGTTAATTTGATCCTCCAATCCTTGGGTTCCGTAGTTTTGATTTTCTCTAAGCGTCGTTGCATCTCATTTCGTGATGCACCTTTGTCGAAATACTTCCTTTTCACGGCAACGTCGGCCACCGAATCACCACCCAAACTCGCGACCGATACATTATCAGCACGTTCCCGGGTTAATTCAAACTCGCCCACGGTGACGAATCTCTCAATAGAACTACACGCCGAAAGTATGTCGGATGCCGGTTTCCCGGTTGGCAATGAAAACCGACACCGAACAATGGAACTGAAGCTGCGTCGTAGATTTTGGAGTTTGGATTCAAGGTCAACCAAGTCACTCAAGGCAAACACAGGCAAAACACGACATATCACGAAATGATAACTTTATGAACACTTGCAACTAAATTTTAGCACAAATTTAAATCGAAAATGTTAAATTCGCTGGCGAAAAATACGCAGCAAAAGAAAAACACGTCAGCTTTCAAGCGCGGCCTACTGCGATTCCATTTCTCGGAAAACTGAATTCTCTATTAAAATTGACGATTACATTAATATTTTCCTTATAATTTGAAATAACCGGATTCGGGTGACCAATATTCGTTCAAAATTACCGAAATAGAATTTTCTTCTGAATTAAGCTAGAATAGTCTACAGTTAGGCGAACTTCCACAGAACCAAAAAAAAAATCATTGCCCCTTTCGGCGATGCGAGACGGAATTCGTAGTGGATGCAATTCAGTGAGCACCAAGGGACCGAATTGGCTTATCTCGGGGGGAACGGTCTGAATCCTAGGGTGGGAACATATTCCCCTAATTTTGGCATCCTCGTAGGTCGATTGATGGACCCAAAACAAAACCAAACGAATCTAAGGGGGAATGCTAGGTACATAAATATTCTTCTCAAGAGGACGGAAGATGAACAACGGAAACGATTTGATCTTCGGAGAATCTCAACAGGTTGGGGAAAAAAGGAAGGAGATTCCGTAAATGATGACCGTAGTTATTTTTTTTCCCGACGATTTTAAAGTATTAAAATTTTAATAGATTAGCTCATATAAATTCAAAAGATCTCTACACTTTGTTTCACCATAAAATAACGCTAGTATTTCACTAAAAAAGATCCGTACTTTCCGCTGCGCGCTTTCAAGGGCAGTCAGGAAAGGTGTATACGTGTGGTTTTATAAATAAGCAAAGTTGGATTAAAAATTAAAACAGTCCGGTCTGATTCGGACGAAAGCTCACTTAAAAATTGGCGCTAACGGTTGCAACGTTTCATTCTTAAAATTCCAAACTAGAAAAAAAAAAACTATTTCATGCTTACGTCTTTGCGGATTTCCCACACGAGATTATTGGGCTTTAGCACATGACGGGGAACGACGGGAGGAGGAAAACTCAAAATTCCTCGAGCTTCTGCTGTCGCTTCTGCTGTTTGGCCTCGATCGCATCGATGATGGGCTTCCGCTTGGCGTGGTAGCGTTTGTTCGTTTCGGCCAGTTCCTTCTCCATCTCCTTGTCGATGCTGGCCAGCCGCTGCTCGAGCTGTTCATAGTTGAGGAATTTCAGCTAAAAAACAACGAAAGAATTTATTGCGATATCTAGACATTTAAATTCTCCCGAAACAAAAAACTCACCGAATCGTATTCACTATCAATCAAGTTGATCCTATTGTTGTAGATCCGATTGTGAGCTTCCATTCCATTGGCAGCACCGCCGCCGCCACCACCACCGCCATCCGGAGTCACAGCCATTGGCGATTGTTGATATTGCACCTGTTGCTGCTGCTGGTGCATATTGGGACTAACAGCGGAGATCTGATTGAGTTGCAGCTGCAGGTGCGACTGAAATCGCTGCCGCTCCTCGTTCAGCTGTTGCTCATCGACACTCTGCGTTAGCGGTGGAGCCGAGGGTTGCTGCTTGCTCGGAGTTTGCACCTGCGGCTGCGGTCGCTGAGGGGACGCGTCCTGATCTTCCGGCGAGGAGCTATCGTCGTCGTAGCTGCGCTGGTTTGTGGATTTGGTCACGAAACTGACCGCTTCCGCTTCCTTTTTGTCGAAGTGGTCCAGGAACAGTGGTCGGTACTTCGGTTTGTCCGGATTGGTGTCATGTCCTACAAATGAGATGATTGATTATCCTACAGGAAAAGTTCCCAAAAAACCGACTTACTTTTCATCGTCGATTCCTCCGAGTCCGAGTTGATCACCATGGTGCCGAGATTGGATTGCAGCTCCACCATCGTTGCACTGTCCGGAACGAGCGTTCCGCAGTCCGTATGTGCTATCATCGTCCCGTCGCCGTCGTCCCGTCCCGGCACCAACGTTCCACAATCCTCCGGGAATTCCTTCATCGTCCTCGAGTTCACATCGTCCTCGTCCGATTCACCTTCGTGACTAATGTTGTTATTGTTTTGCAGCTGCTTGTTCGCCTGACTAATGGCCGCCGCGTGCCGGTAGCTTTGATTTTCCCTAATTTCCTTCGCTTCCGCTATCATCTGACTGAGAATGCTGCACGGTTTGGCGTTTCCTACAAAGAACAGAAACCAGTTAAAAATCCCGACCAAAAATCACCAATCCACCTACCGATAAACTCATGCGTCAGCAAATCCGTCGCCGTAGCTCGTTCCTCCGGATTCTTGACCAGGCACAGACTGACAAAATCGATAAACTCCGGACTCCAGATGTCCGGATCCCGGAACGATGGCGGTGGCTTCGTTGGTATCATAAAGATGGCCCTCATCGGATGAATATCTCCGTACGGTGGCTTTCCCTCGGCCATCTCCAGTGCCGTGATACCCAGGGACCAAATGTCCGCCACGCAGTCGTACCCGATTTCCTCTATCACCTCCGGGGCCATCCAGAATGGTGTCCCGATCACAGTATTTCGTTTGGCCATCGTATCCGTTAGCTGTCCGGCCACCCCAAAGTCGGCCAGTTTGGCGTGACCTTCCGAATTCAGCAGGATGTTACCCGCCTTGATGTCCCGATGGATCTTCCTCCTCAGGTGCAGATACTCCAACCCCTTCAACGTATCGATCAGGATCGTTGCGATCTCGTCCTCCGACAGTGTCTTCTTCCGCAACCTCATGATGTCGGACACGCTACCGGCTCCGCAGTATTCCATCACAATCCAGAGATCGGTGTTCTTAAAGTAACTACCGTAATACTTGACAACGTATGGCGAGTCGCACTGCTGCATGATCGAGATCTCCTTGATGATCTCCTGCAGGTCCGTGTCCACCGGGACCTGCTTGATGGCGAGAACCTGCTCGCTTTCCTTGTGGAGGGCTTTGTAGACCGAGCCATAGCTTCCCTCGCCCAGCTTGCAGATGATGTCGAATACCTCCTCCGGCTGGCGGGTCAAGCTTTCCTCCGAAAGCTTTTTCAGTTCGCTAGACACCCGGATGGGAAATATTTGAGTGTATGTTTAAGGTTTGCGGAAGACTAGAACGTGGACCGAGCGAGGATCTTTGAAAAGTGAGATTTATCTACCGGTAGCTTTCAGCAATGAATAAGATAAACTACAATTTGGGTTAGACACACCACACTCTCAGTTGCTACCGTCGAAACCCCGATTTGCTGATAGTCTGTGTCAAACACGTTACACGCTGTTTGTAAACTCGTATTTAATATTTTCTATAAAAGAAATCAAGTGAATCTTGATAGCATCTCATCAAAAGATGGGGTGTTGTATGTCTTCGTCAATTATTGTATCTATTATCGTTGGGTTAAATGAAGTCCTCGAGCGCTGAATTTTGACCAAATGATGCATCCTCATACCTAAAAAGAGCCTTTACCTTGAGCGTGAGAGGCATTGATGCTGATCATGAATCTTCTTTGTAAATTCTAATGTGATTTGAGCTGTCACATGATGGGTTTTGGTCCAATACAGAAATTGGTCACTTGCCCTTGGATACCCAAAACATGTCCGAGAATGGCCAATGTGGCCCTGGGCAATCAATATTACCTACATTGATCTTTTTTTGAATTCTCATGTGATTTGAGATGTCACATGATGTGTTTTGGACTATGTCAGAAATTGGTCACTTTCCCGGAAGTAGCCGGAACATGTCCGGATGTGGGTTCGGTTATTTTTTTTTAAATACCACAATATCCAAAAGCAGCTCTGTCATGTGAGTTAGTGATGCTATAAGTGCTTTAGCCCAATACCCCACAACCCGCTGAGACTTTCGGCCTCTACGGGAACATTAGGACGCTAGTGGGATTCTAATTACGGCATACAAGGCAGATTGGATCAGACGTGTAGCGTATTGAGTTAAATTGTCCATGATTTTAATTTGTGCATGATGTTTTTGAAACTGTAGGATTTACGAGGGGGACGATTCTATCTATGATGCTGGAAAAATTGTGTTTTGCTCTGGCTAGCTGTGTGCAAGCTGAGTAGATAGAAAGAAGATTGATGACGATTCTAAAGATTTCCTGCAAAAAGATGATGCGCGATGCAAGTAGATGCGAGAAATGAAAGAAGATTTTTCGAAGATTTATTCGCTAGTGTGAGATTTTTTGACCACCTAGAATTAAAATTTAGATGTGTCACCCCCCTCGAGGATTTATTAGATTAACTGTTTGTCACTAGCATTACATTTTGGTAATCCACCTTTTTTTAATACGTAGGGATTGTCAAAAATAGGTGTAAAGCAAATTGATATTGTTCCGCTCTCATATGCTCTCAATATCACGCGTGATATTGAAGAAAATATCATGCTTGATATTGATTGTACAAGCTCCTTTGATATTGCGAGACTATTCACAGCGTGTAAAGTTGAAGCTGAGAGTTGAATCGACGCAAAAATGATCTCGTTTTCATAGACAGAGAAGGTATAATAATGCTATCTCTTTTTTTTATCTTCCCCGATGGCAGACACGAAGCGACGACTGCCAGCCGCTATGGAAGTTTCGCTGTGATGAGATTGAGTTTTATGATTTTTGCTTTACACCCGAATGCAAGTAAAGCAAAAATCATAAAACCCAATCTCACCACAGCCTGGTGAGATTTTCAGCTGGTGAGTTTTGTTAGCTTGATATCCCGATCTACGATATCACAGCTTGCAATATCAACTGCAGTTGTTTGCTTGTTGACTCTCGTCTACGAAAATCAGGCGTGGTCTTGTTCATTGATGAGATTTCATTTTTTGATATTTTCCCAACACTGGATGTAGGGAAAATGACGGCTTCGGCATGACAGACTATTTTCGGCAACCCAAATTGAATCGCTAATTTCATTGGATTTTCTCACGTAAACACTTCCCTGAATGCATTCAAACGTGCGTAAACGTGCCAATGAGCCAGCAGCGGGCCCTTCAAAGAAGGTGCTAATCAAGCCCAGCGCGTCGCAGGATGACGCCGGAAAACGAGTACTGCAAGCCAACCAGTATGCAGTACTCCCGGAAGAAAATGGCGATGGTGACGCCGTTCCCATTGCAAGACGAGAGCGGATTCCCCCGCTTTTCACGCCGGTGAAGGATGTTGCCGAACTGGCAAAACACAAGCTGCTGCCTCGCTTCAAGCTTTGCAGCATCGGTACCAAAATCATGTGCTCCAGCCTGGAGGAGTACAAACAAATAGGAAGTTTCCTGAAGAACAACAACGTGGACTTCTTCACGCATGATCTGCCATCGAGCAAGCCACTGAAGGTGGTTTTGCGTGGATTACCGTCGTTCGAGGCTGCTGCGGTGAAGTCCGAGCTGGAGCGGCTTGGGCTCCAACCTGAGGCCGTGTTCCAGATGAACCGGCGTCCCAACCAAAACACCAGCTTCCGTGATCAGTTGTTCCTGGTGCATTACACGAAGGGAGCCACCAGTCTTGCGGCTCTGAGATCCAAAATCCTGGACCTGTTTCAGGTCATCATCAGTTGGGAGCATTACAAACCCCAACATCGTGATGTAACGCAGTGTATGAACTGCCTCTCATATGGTCATGGCACCAAAAACTGCCACATGAAGACAAACTGCGGCAAGTGTGCTGGAACTCACTCAACTGTACTAAGTCACACATATCTTTAGATCATCTGAAAGCAAGTTTGACAAAAGTCTGCGATGCAATATCTGTGGAGGAACTAACGTCCATCGTCGATAATTTCCCTAAGAGGTTGAAGGCGTGTGTACGAGTCAAAGGAGCACATTTTGAGAAATTGTTGTGAATTTCATAAACTATGTTTGTGTGCCTACATTTCCCATAAACATAACACGGATATTTATTCCTCACCCAGTATATCTTGGTATCCAGGCCATATAGAAGGTTGATGTCTTCGGTAAATTTTTCAGAAAGTCGGAATATTCTCATGACGCGGCACTGGTGTGCAAGTGTATTTCTTGAATATACTATATCTTGCAATACTGGCCATATAGTCTTCTAAATATGGCTTATTCTGAACTTATGTCGATAAACAGAAAGTCCTTGACCTACTTAACAAATTTGCCGAAGACTGCAACCTTCTAGATGATAAAGATCGCAAAATATAGCATATTCAAGGAAATGCACACTTATACCGTGTAGTGTAAAAATTCTTAACTTCTGTCCATCATTCAAAAAGCCTTGACCTACCGAACAACTTTGCCGAAGACTGTAACCTGGAGCTCAAGATATAACATATTTAGGGAATTCACTTGCACACTAGCGCCGCGTAGTGAGAGAAAATTCTGAATATAAGTCCACGAGCCAAAAGTATTTGACCTACTGAAAAAAATTGCCGAAGACTGTAACCTTCTATAAGGTCAGGATCATGGGATATTCCGAGGAGGAACGGACAGCCCACATATTCTTCTGCTTCTTATTTGCTTTTCAAATCTATTGCTTATCGCATTTTAGCTTATTGCGTGCTCTCAACTTAGTGTTCTAGATGCACTTCCACAGTTATTAATTGAGAGCTTTCGATGCCTGTACCATTTCTGCATTATCATAATTGTATGGCAAGTCCAATCATACTTCTATGCCCAGGGAAGTCGAGAAATTTTCCAACCTGTAAAATTCCTAGACCGGACTGGGAATCGAACCCAGGCACCACCAGCATGGTCTTGCTTTGTAGCTGCGGATTTGCCGACTGAGCTAAGGGAGGGACAGCCCACATGTACAAAGTACAACGCGTGATTGCTCATGTTACAAAAGTTGGAGCGAGTACTAAAAGGTTAAGAACAAATTTCAAAATCCTAGTCTTAGAAAACTGTTCAAGATTATGGGTCTAGAAATTTCAGAGAAGTGTAACAGTAAGGTGTGTGGAATATGTATAAAATTTTTGAAAATCTTCTATGGACGTGCATTCAATGCAGTGATGGGCAACTGAACCAACCGGTGCGCACCGTGTGCTGGTTCGTGTTCATAAAAATACTCCTGTGTTTATGTAAAGGCCCACGCACATTAGATCCGGATCGGACGCGTTGCGGCAGAGTGACAGCTAAATCTATTGTCTAACTGTCAAATTTACGCCAACGCAACGCAAACGGATCTAATGTGGGTGGTCCTTAAGCGTGTACCCTGGTTCGGTTGTGTTTTCGTGTACCAGTGTGTTCTAAATCAAAACCGACTGCCGGTTTTCGAGTTGATGTTCAGAACCGCAGTTTGAAAACCGAAAACCGGTGTGCTAGAATTTTGGTTTTGGTTCACGAGATCTAAACCGTGTGCATGGTTCAATTATATGTAACCAAAACCGGGTATACCGTTCTTGGTTCAGAACATAGGCAAGAATTAAATAGCTATAGTCTGGAAATCGAGAACCGATACCTTCTTGAAATCCAATATGGCGGCTTCCGGTTGCAGATAAACTGAGAAATACTGTCAAATACTCTTCAATATGGTTATTTTTGGAATCGGGATGACGTAAACAGACCGGAAATCAATGTCTGACGCCATCTTGAAATCCAATAAGGCGGCTTCTGGTTGTACGAAAACTGGGGAATACTAGCAAATACCCTTCAATATGGGTATTTTCGGAATCGGGATGACGTATATAGACCATATATCAATGTCCGACGCCATTTTGAAATCCAATATGGCGACTTCCGGTCATAGAAAAACTGGGATATACTGTCAAATATGCTTCAATATGAGTATTTTTGGAATCGGGATGACGTATAAAGACCGGAAATCAATGTCTGACGCCATTCTGAAATCCAAGATGGCGGCTTCCGGTTATCGAAGAACTGGGAAATATTGTCAATTACCCTCTTATATGGGTGGTTCCGGAATCGGGGTGACGTATAGAGACCGGAAATCAATTTCAGATGCCATCTTAAAATCCAATATGGCGGCTTCCAGTTGCAGAAAAACTGGGAAATAAAAATACACATATTGAAGGATATTTGGCAATATTTCCCAGTTTTTCTATAACCGGAAGCCGCCATCTTGGATTTCAAAATGGCGTCACACATTGATTTTC